ATCACCTGACGGTGTCGTGGATGTCTTCATCCTGCAGCAGCCTCCTCATCATCACCCTCAGCTCTCCCAGATAAAGCCCCGCCCCTCCCTCTGCAGGTGGTTTAGCCCCGCCCCCACGCTCCTCATCCTCCTCCCCCAGCCCCTTCACCTGGGAGCAATGGAGCCGCGCACCAAACACTGCGTAGGCCAATAGAAATGCTACGAGAGAGACAGACCACACCCACTTTAATCACATGATCAAACTAGTCAGTGAAAGAATGCGTGTGTGTGTGTGTGTGTATGTGTGTGTGTGTGTGTGTTTACCAATGACAAAGACGACGACAACCACGCACACACACAGGAACACGCTGGCTCTGCGGTAACCGTGGCGATAAGGCAGCACCAGTGCTGTGATGTCACTGCTCTGCCCTGCCTCCTCCTCTCGTGTCACAAACCTCATCTCCACCCTCTGAGCTCCTCCTGCCTCCTCATCCTCGGCCCCGCCCACTGAAGGAGACTGACCAGAGAGAGAGAGAGAGAGAGAGAGAGAGAGAGAGATGTAACCATGGTTACAGGCGAGAGGGGGAGGGGCTGGTCTCTGGGTGTCGCACCTGTGGCTCACCTGAGTCAGACGAGTCCTGACGGTGTCCATGATGATGACCTGTAAGGTAAAAAGTAACCACGATGAAATATTTTTATTCAGCAAAAAAAAACAAAAAAACAAAAAAAAACAACAACTTTGATTCAAAAATAAAATAATAATAATAATATTAATAATAATAATAATTAAATATATAATTATATAATTATCATTATGATCAGTCCTGTGATCTCTGGTCCGTCTTTATTAAACTTCAAATACTTAAATGCTGTAATTTCTCCTTGACGTCTCATAAACAGATCTGAATGTTTTCCATCCGCCACAGATCAATAATCACAGATCAGACTCACTGTGATTGGTTCCTCTCAGGGGTCAGAGGTCACAGTGGTGTTTGATCTGGTTAACTTTATTAACAGCTAAGTAAACACACACACACACACACACACACACACACACACACACAGACAGTGAGGTTGCTTTAACTCTCTGTAAGTCTTCAGCTGACGCTCTCACAGCAATGATTTAAGGTGTGTGATTTAAGGTGGTATTTATCAGTGTAACAACAGGTGTCTGTCCAACATGACAGTTTCAAATGGACGACGATTTCTTATTCAAAAAGTCATTTTCGAGTCTGAGGAGTTAAAAACAGATTTAAAGTCACAGATCACTGGACATGATCAATCAGCTGATCAATAACAAACACTTGAGTTAATGTGATCCACTAACCTCGTTTATTCCTCCTCTCTGTCTTCTCTCTCTACGTCCATCCGTCTGGGTGTTTTCAGTGTGTCTCCCTGTGTGTATGCATATGTGTGTAACTTTGGAAAGTCCAATCTGACGCCCACCCTGTGGTCACCTGACCTGCTCTCACAGATAGTTTACTGCAGTAAAAGTACTGATACCACACTGTTAAAATACTAGATAACTAAATATATTATTGTATCATGAAACATGAGTGTGTTGATCAGTTTAATGTGGCAGCAGGTAAAGGTAGAGCTCATTTTAATAAACACATCATTTATTATTGATTATAGTGGACAGCTACTGAAAAGCCATTATCTCGTATATACACACATTAAACACACAATAAACACATTAAACACATTAAACACACAATAAACACATTAAATACACATTAAACACACAATAAACACATTAAACACATTAAACACACAATAAACACATTAAATACACATTAAACAAACAATAAACATATTAAACACACAATAAGCACATTAAACACACATTAAATACATTAAACATACAATAATCACGTTAAACACACATTAAACACATTAAATACACATTAAACACATTAAATACACATTAAACACATATTAAACACACAATAAACACATTAAACACACATTAAACACATAAAACACACATTAAACACATTAAATACACATTAAACACACAATAAACACATTAAACACACATTAAACACATAAAACACACATTAAATACACATTAAACACACATTAAACACATTAAATACACATTAAACACACAAAACACACATTAAAAACATTAAATACACATTAAACACACATAAAACACACATTAAACACATTAAATACACATTAAACACACAAACACATTAAACACACAGTAAACACATTAAACACACATTAAAGACATTAAACACACATTAAACACACAATAAACACATTAAACACACATTAAACACACAATAAACACATTAAACACACATTAAACACACAATAAACACATTAAATACACATTAAAGACATTAAATACACATTAAACACACAATACACACATTAAATACACATTAAATACATTAAATACACATTAAACACACAATACACACATTAAACACACATTAAACACATTAAACACACATTAAACACATTAAACATGGCTTAATAGACACAAATCAGCTTCACTATAACTCGCAGCATTCACAGACAAAACAACTGTCTTATACTAAACACATTTTCCCCACAAATACAACATGCTAACATTATTAGCGCAAGCCTATGGCATTTTACATTGTATAAATTAGCCTAAATTAGAGAGATTTCCTCTGCTCATATGAAGCCAGGATAAATCACACACAAGACTTAAAATGCTATTTTTGTGGTGGCTTTATTGTCTTCACAGTTTATTGTTTCTTATCTGTGAAATTAAAGTAAATCAAAGCTTTGTTTCCACTGAGGGAAATGGTTTCAGCTTATAGAGACAGACAGGAGGTCTGCGTTACGGCTACGTGTAGTTACATTTATGGGGTGGTGCACGCCAGGCTATGGTGTCGAAGTATAAATTCCCTATAATTAGTCATGCCACATACTGCCTCCCGCTGGCCAGGTGTTGTAAGTGTAACAAAAACTTCTCAAAACCAAGATGGCCGACAGAATGCCACAAACACTGTGCAGCTCAGGAAAATCTTGCTAAGTATTCTGTTACTGCGGGTAAATAACATTTGGTAACATTAAGTCACACTTACGGAGAGATACAACTGTTCATGTTTCCAAGTATTGATTTTATGTTGGGAGAAAATTATGATTAATCATCCTAAACTGGACGTCATGTGTCGCTGGCTTTATCCCAAGTCCAATTAATATTATTACTGCAGCTTTGATGGTCTCAGATAATTCATCTGCAGTGACTTTTTTTGGCTTTAGCTCAGCTGATTCATGTTAGTGGAGTGTAACTTTGGTTTTTATAACTAAAATAATGGGAGCAATGGTTAAACTGTATGTCATTATTTATTTGTTGTCACAGTGTTAAATTCCAGTTTCTGCTGACCATACATAAATATACAAATAGATAATGATAACGATAATAATAGTAATAATAATAATTATTATTATTACTATTACAGTGGTGTGACAGAATGATTTTAGGTCTGTCTATGCCTCCATCTGGTGGCTGAAGGGTGTTACTACACTGGGACTAGACATGATCATTATTGATACATGTTGGCTTCCTTTCCTTTTCCAGCCAGTTATAATTGTTTTCTATGGATGGGAACATGTGTACAGATTTTCAAAATAAAGCCATGGTGGATTAGATGTATCTAATTTTAATATTTAATACTGTCAGTGACATGTCGGTGACAACAAATGAGTTTAACTGTTATTTGGGAGCCAAACACGGTGCGTAAATGTACCTAAGAAGGACAATTTGATCTGAGACTTTCTCCACTAAATCCTCTCTCAATGTGCTCTGCTTCATTTTATAAGTCTGTACACAGGTGCAGAGAAGATGTTATATGATTTTCTACAGCTTGGGGCTGCTACGAAATAATTTCAAAGGAATATTTACTGCTGTAGAAAAGATTACCACACACTTACATCTATGCAGCATTTCACTTCATTATTTTCTTGAGCTTTCAGTCTATTAAACCTTCATCAGAACACACATGAACCAACAACGGACAGGCAGGTAAAACTAACCAGTCTCAGTCTAATCATTGCACACCTGCGCACAGCCCTGCTGGCAGGAGCTCCACCTCCTGGGAGTTGAAGTGTTTAGATACTGAATGGGGTGCTGTGAGGCATCCAATGAAAGGACACAGTGGGTACAGAAAAAAACTACACAATCATTAAGTGTCTTATTACAGCAGCCTATAAAACAATTAGTTTCATGACATAGTGAACAGGGCCTTGAGAGGGATCAGGGTAAAGCCATCATAAATCAAAGATCCCCATGTGACACTGTTCTGACTCTACGGGCCTTAAGCTCAGCGCTCAGGTGAGTACTCCTGCCCACTTACAATGACATTTATTTTGTAATTTATTACTTAACTCTGTTCCATGTAACTAGTTACTCCGCAGGAGGCAGAAGTGCAGATGCAGACATGCAACACATTTAATTCAGGTTCACTGAAACTGGTAGAATGGGGACATCTGCTGGACAATCTTTGATACTGCATTTGTATAGAGAGTCAAAATTGAGCGAACCTGCTGAAATCATTCTTGATATTTTGTTTGATAAAGTTTCTGATGTTGAGAGATTTTAAAAATGAAACAAAAAACATTTCAGAAACATTGTTAAGCAATTCTTTGGGGGCAAATATTGCAAATTGCCAAATCCCCCTTAAATCTGTGGGACAAGCAGCAGAGAATCAGAATCAGTTTTGTTGCCAAGTAAGTTTTCACATACAAGGAATTTGGCTTGGTGTATTGTTGCATAACAAAGAGTATAAAATACATAAAAGTAAAAGTTTAAAAAGGAAATACTATTAACAATTAAATATAAAATATAAAAAAGTAGTTTGAGGAAAGTGATGAAATGATGCGTTCAGGTGTCACCAAAGCGAAAGGATTTTTCAGCTCTACGGAGCTCTTGGCTCTCACAGTGACGTCTAGCCTGAAATGATCTTTATGTGTTTTTGTTTTCAGCTTCAGCATCAGCAAATAAAGGTCACAGTGCAGGATGTCTTTGTCTCTTTTTCTGTCTTTTCTTTTATTCATTAAATGTACGATTACAAAATTTGTTTTCATGTTTTAGGAAATAAGCATGTTTAAAAGTGATGTATTAATTTCAATAGTCTGTCTAGTTGGTGAAAGCATTTTAGACCAAAATGCTCACGAGGGGGCGTGAGACAATAATGTGCTGTTGATCATCTTTACATTTTACAATCTGTGTGAATGTTTCTCAAGAAAAAGCTGAGATCAGTAAAGAAAGCATCACCATCAAAACTGATTTGACACTGATCAGAAACACCTTCAGTGCGGCTTCACAACATTTATCAAAGTTTCCACACATTAATTTACTAAAAAAGGAACAAAAGCAAAACATGAGATTAAACCTGAAAGACTTTCCTAAATGTCTGAGTCCTGAAACAGACAACAGGAATTGATAATTTTCTTCTGCAGAAAAGTTTGTCTTCTTGTAACAAGGTTGGTTCAGTTGTAACTCAGAGTTTCGTGGCTCAATGGCGCCCTCTGTCTGTAGGTGAATGCCACTGGAGGCTGTGGTGATTCCTGGCTATATTCTGGTCCTCATCAGACAATAATTGTTATTTACAGATTACTGAATGGGCCTAATGGACACAGGTCCAGGGACCCAAAGTGTTAGGGGCTTCATGGCTTTCACCTGTAAAATGTCACTCAAATTTACACATACTGACCAGGAAGAGACTCAAATGGATGCAAAGGAACTGCAAAGAGACACAAATTAACTACAGAAATGGGAAAAACATCAAAATAAACAAAGAGACATGCAACAACCTCAGAGAGACACAAAACCAGTCGCATGACAATCACAAGGAGATGAAAAACAACAATGAAAATGAGGCAAAACCAGCACAAAGTCTGTTTGTCTTGCTTCTATGTGGCAGAGGTGGTGGGGCCTTTTACATATATGTGCCCAGGGGCCCATTGTCTCATAATCTGCCCATGATATCTGTGGTATGTGTATTTATATTTGTGATGATTTGTCATTTGCCCAGATCTAAACTGGACATGTGAATGCTTTTCGTCTGGGTCTTGCCATCTGAAATGGTGTCCGAGACCTCGTGTTCTTTATTTTTTGCATTTTAAAGAACAAAGAACATGAGGCCTAAAGTGACTCTTACCTTCTTAAAATGTGTAGCTTATACTGATCTAAAAATAATGTTGAACATTTCATCAACTAAACTGTGCGTTGTACATCTGGCCTGGTGCCTTTTCCTCTGAAAGTATCACTGGCGAGGGCCAGAGTAGTCTTGAGTCTTCCTAGCTTGGCTTGCCGTGGATTCCGGATCCAAAGAGGGAAAAGTCTCAAAGGAAAATAGAGAATTTGATTGCTTTCATCGGCAATGCTGCAAAGTTAAAGTTCCAAATAATCAAAAATAGCCCACTGCATGCAGCCAGCCTGTGCTAAAACATATTAGTGAATGCTTATTTAGATGTATGAGTAATGCTGATAGGTAGTGATGGCCAAATGAAGCCTCATGAATCACTGTCTTTATTCTCTGAAGCCACTAGATGGCGGTGTCTGTTCAACAAAGGTTTGAAAGCACATTTCATTGCCAGTCCTTCAGCTTTTATCTTTAAACCAAGAGTGCCATCTGGCGGGGTCAGAAAATAAAGAAAGTGGTTCCCGAGGCTTCATTTGGCCATCACCGCTGATAGGCTAAGTTCTACTTTAAAGGCTGTGTTACCTTTAGTATAAGGCTCAAATAAGTTTTGCGGCAACAGACAGATTTTTTTTTTCTTTTTTTTAGGTCGCCAACCCCTGCTTTAAATAAATCATGCAGGTGCATGTAAGCTGCTACACAAAAAAAATGGGTCAGCATATAAGCAATGCCACATCTTCGTCTTCTTCGTCTTCATTCCATTTCGAGATGATCAAACGCTCTCTTTTCAGCATCAGCTCGAGCTGCAGGTGAGAGCAGAGGAGACAAAGGGTTAAGACGAGCGTGCGTGGCATCATCTTCCTCATTCACTTCCTGATTTCTACCAGTGCTACTGTGCTGTTGTTGCTGTGACAACCAGCTCTGTTGCTGCTGACTTCACCTCAGTGTCGCCACAACCTGAGACCAGTGTCACGAAGAGAGATTTGTGGGTTGGCTGGCTCAGTTTAGACTTCGCTCTGGTTTTCCGGTATCTCGAGTTTAGGGTAAAGGTTTTAGAAAACACCTTAAACTTAGCTTTGTTGCCTTCATTTTATACTAAATTCTTGTGCTTAAGTACAGATTTGAGGTACTTGTACTTAACTTGAGTGCTATTTTCTGCTACGTTGTGGAGGAAGCCATCAGAAAATATGATCCATACTGGGATCAATATAGTCTATTATTATTATTATTATTATTATTATTATTATCATATATTTTCAGAGGTGTTCTTACCTCGAGCCACCCTGCAGTATATGTAAATACACATTATGAGTATGGCTGTGAACAGGATGAACAGCAGGATGGAGCAGATCAGCCTGTACAGAGTAATGACAGGAGGAGGAGGGGCTTCTGGAGTCTGAGGTGTCACTGTGAGGAAGAAGGATTCAAACATGACACACAGTTAGTTCTGTTTTCACTTAAATATTATGTTAAGGTTTAGAAACATTGTCCCTTTATCCATTAGTGTCATATGAATCATCTCAACAGGGTGCAACAAGAAAACAAAGAATAAAGGGAAGTCTTGTTTTCAGTGTAAAGTGGAGGAATCTGTCCACACACTCAGTTACAGTCTGTACTGTCCGGTGTTTGTTGACAGATAATGTGTGCTGGAAACTGTCAGTGTGTCATTCTGTCAGTCAGTCATTCTGTCAGTCCCACATTTTTCTACTCACTGATGTGGTCAATCTATGTGAAACTGCAAATAGGCATTGAGGACTGGCATAGGTAGAAGGTGACATAGCTACCAATGGGTTTGGACTAGTCTCCGTAAAAAAAGACCCGCTCCTTATGTACATGTAAACAGCTAAGGTAATCTTTAGAGGGTTTCTTCAGATTTGGCTCAAACATCCATTAGAATTTGGTGGTCAAAGGTCAAGGTCACTATGACCAAGAAACATGGGTGTGTTGGGAACCTTTGAAACTGTGCTGATTGTATAGATCATCTGAGCCGTCAGGTTGAAGGTGTGTGTGAAGCATCCATGTTTTTATAGCGTCTTTGCAGAAACATCAGTATCTGAAGCACTGGCTAAATATGAGTCTGGACAGACATGATGTAAACTGCAACTTGACTGGTTCACAGAGGTGGTAATTCTAGTTGAATTATCATATTGAGTAAAGGAATCAAGTAATTCAAACTGACAAATAATAGAAATACTGAGGTACAATCAGTTTTATTTCCCAAGATTAGGTTTAAATACTGTCTCAAAGCTGTTGACAGGGAAACACTAAAGAAACACATTTTCTTCCTTTTTTAAGTAGTCAAATTGAAACATACTGAGCTCCCTTCATGCACATAGGACTCACTCCAAAGTTGTTGAATACCAGCACTTGGTCAGTGACATCTGGCGTCAGACATCGACGAAAAAAGCTGTCTTTTCTCAGTCATCCAGGTCATGGTAATCATGAGTGCTATATCGTAGGCATCTGGACTTGCTTGTGTTTCTTGAAGACATCATGTGAACCTAATGACACACATGATGGCCAGGTGGGTCAACGACTCACATGTGACCTTAACGACTCTGCAAGGGTTCACACCCACACTGAGTTTAAAGCTTGCGATTCTGCACCAGTCATTTAGAACTGAAGAAGCTTCTTGGATGAGAGGCGCAATGTCTTCAAGAAACGCAAGCAAGTCCAGTTGCCTTCGATATAGCACTTAGGATCAATTTGTGGTGTTGCACCGACGTAGTGCTTTTATTTTGAAAGAGACTGTATGCAAACTGTACATTTCCTGTGAAAACAGAAGTGTACTTTGAAAACAGACAATGCATGTAACAGGCTGAAGTTGACACAGCATCCCAGAACGTCAACAACCAACACACCCAGGGTACCTTGGACGTCATATGTGGATGTGGAAAGTCCATGACCAAACGTGTACATGTGACTAAGTCAGAGTGAGAATGTGTTGGTGGGACTGCTCTACATAGGAAGCAGAAAATGTCACCTGTGACAGCCAGCCAGCTCTGCGGTGACTTTCCTTTTGTTGGGTGTTCACACTTGTAGAATCCTTCGTGACGTTTGGTCACTGGTGAGAGGATCATCTTCCCTGCAGGCTCAGTGCCAATGAAAACATTGTTTTGGAAGAATGCAGCAGAGAAGTTTGATGTCACTTCATATGTGACTTTGTCCTTGTAGGAGCAGCGCAGTGTGACATTATCTCCCTCCATCACAGGACGTGTGGGGCTCTCCAGGATCACAACACCAGCTGAAATATAGAAGATTACATTTCTGTGTTTTATTTCTAACTTGTTGTGTTTGCAAAGTCTGTTAAATTGCAAAAATCCATGCACATTTGGTATTTACCATTCACTGTAATGTTCACGGTGTTGCTGCACCTCCCCTGCTGAGACTCACACCAGTACACTCCAGTGTCTGAAGGGTAGGCATCTCGGTTGGTGCAAGAGGACTCAGCTGCGATTCCCCATCCATGCTTACAAGCCTGAGATGTCTGAGAGGAGGTGTTCCTCCTCACTGTCCAGCCGGTGGAGTTTGCCTCACACCTCAGAGAGATTTTTTCATGCCGAAAGAACTGAGATCTGTCGGGAGTGACGCTCAGCGTGGCTGCAGATAGGGTAAAACAGGAAATTATTAGCAGTTGATTAAAGATAGTTTTATATATACAGCTGATCATATGTGTTAAATACAGGCATTGCTGTTGTTAATTGTTATTAAGGTCGAAAATGTAAAGCTGCATTCATCAACTTTGTAGTAATCTTACTATATAATGACGACAACTCTGTGTGTGTGTCTGTTCCATGTTTTTCTCCTCACTGACTTGGTCAATCCATGTGAAATTTGGCACAGTGGTAGAGGGTCATGGGAGGATGCCAATGAAGCAATATTACATCAATTGGCCAAAGGGGGGCGCTATAGCAACCCATTGAAATGTCAAACTTTGAATGGGCATATCTCATGCCCCGTATGTCGTAGAGACATGAAACTTTGCACAGAGATGCCTCTCCTCATGAGGAACACATTTGCCTCAAGAACCCATAACTTCCGCTTATATAGATTTTCCGCCATTTTGAATTTTTTGAAAAACACTTCAAATGGATCTCTTCCTAGGAAGTTTGAGCGATCTGCATGAAACTGGGTGAACATAATCTAGGGACCAATATCTAAAGTTCCCTCTTGGCAAAAGTTGGAAAACTTACTAAAACTGAGCTTCTATAAGGCAATGAATATTGCGGAGGGCGTGGCTCATCACATAAAGGTGTATAACATCTCAAGGGTTTCACCCATCACCACGCAACTTTGTAGGCATATGACCACACATAATCTGAGGGGACCCCTCCATTATTGACCCCATCAAACAAAATGGGGGCGCTAGAGAGCTCATTTCTTATCTAGGCCTAACCGCCATATGGATTTTTACTAAACTTGGTAGATATGTAGAACAGGACGCCTCAAGGTGACTGGAGAAATTTAACTCTAATTGGCAACTGGGTGGCGCTATAACAACAGAAAAATGCTTCAAAATGGCTAAAATGCGACCGATCGCTGTGGCTCCCCCTGTGGACCAATGTTGGTGTTGTTTTCTAATGTTTGGTATGACTAAGTCATGGTATGGTATGCTGTACATAATCACGGAAACTGTCAGTGTGTCATTCTGTCAGTCAGTCATTCTGTCTGTCCCACGTTTTTCTACTCACTGACGTGGTCAATCTACTGTACTTTCAATAAAGCAATCGTACTATCAAATTCACTAAAGCTCTCTCTGAATACATTGCTCTTCTTAATGGGTTCAGTTGACTATTTAATCTGCAATTTCCTATGACCTGTATCCCAAACACACACCATGTGAAAGTGTACTTGGGCAACTGTGCACTCAGTGGGTATGGACTAGTATTCAATATGACTCAGAGAATGATGTCACAGAGAATAACCACTGACTCCACAGCTGTGCAGAGCTTGTTAACCTCCTTTAGCTCATCGCTTTGGGTTTACAGCAGCAGCCATTCAGCAGCCTGTTTCAAACAACCACTGTGCACTACCTTTCCATAAACAGCAGGCAGACAAAGTTAGAGACAAGTTTGTGAATAAAGTGGAACATCTAGCAGTTTAAGAGACATATGTTTTTCTTAGGAGTTGGTGAAGACCAAACCAGAGCCAAAAGGAGAGTGAATATTGAACTTATTCTCCAGGTGGACGAACATAGCATCAATGTGATAATCGTGTTACTCTATGTCTGACAGCTTCTTTTAATGTTCCTCTGTCCTCCAGTGGTCCAGAATTGATAAGGAAAGATTTAAATGATTGCATTGTTAAAAATTATTCATTTTTTCAAGACAGAGTCTTGAGACTTTTGAGACACCACAGCTCTCCTCACTATACCTAAAATAAGTCTGGAGTTTTTGAGCATTATGAGCACACTCTTCAAGGCTAGGTCCAGAAAGAATAAGTCAATGAGAGTTGGTTGGTAAAAGAAAAAAATTGATTTTCAAAAGTTTTACTCACAGAGCATTAGGCAGAGTGGTGCAATCTCCATCCTGTGTCGATGCTGTCAGCCCTCCACTGACAAGTTTTACATGGCAGCCTACCACATCCTGACCAAACACAGGAAATCATGCAGGTCATCGCTGAACAATAGAAACACAGCAAAAAGAATTCATGTTCTGCAATGGAAACACACATTTTCCAAACTTGCTTGAACTCTAAGTTTTTAAAACATGTTCAAAAGTAGTAGAACCAGATGTCAGCATTCATTCACTCACAAAACAAGCTTTGGAAAGTGATGCTGTCAGAAAGCACAGATGACATACTCAGATCTTTTACTGAAGTAAAGCAGTGCCACTGGAGTGGAGTATGAGTGGTAAGTGGTATAAAAAGAAAATGCTTGACTCAAGTACAAGTACCTTAAATTCTACTTAAGTAAATTACTTAAGTAAATATACTTGTATCTTTCAACACTGTCAGTGAGTGCCTAAAGTCTCCTTGGGACACATTTCACAGTTTGCAGTTGATCGTTTACTGGATGCATTCAAATCCATCCCACTTCTTTTCTGTTTCACCTGCCACAGAAACTTCAACATGAGAATCAACCCAATCAACGTAAAGGTCATTCTCCCACCAAAGAGCACAGTGTCAAACCTGTCATCAGCCACAAGAGGCTTTTTTTACATTTCGGTGAAACAGAATATGAAGCAACCGCGTAAACAAGAGACAAAAGAGTCAAACACAGTCAGACTGGAAAACTTTATGGTACATCTGAGCTGCAAATACACCCGGAAATAGGGGCCGAGCAACAGCGCAAGAACCTAGCTTCTTCTTCTTTGTTTTCCTCCAAATTAATGGCATTTTTAGCAACAAGTGTCGTGCTCAGATTTCAAAAAATGTCTCCGTAGCGCCCCCTACAAAACTTCAACGAAACATCCCCTGTGGTATGTTTCACCTAGAGGTATGAAAATTGGCAAACAACATCCCAAGACATACAAAAAGTCTCTTGGAGCCATGCCCTATATCCAGGGCAGTCAGCAATTTTTAATTTACTTGGCAATTTTTGTGCATTTTTGGCCATTTCCAAGGGTCGTACTTTACCACACTCCTCCTACAGATTTGATGTGATTTTCTGATGCCTTTCCATGGTCACATGGTTTGATGTCCGGATATCAAACCATGTGACCATGGCAAGGCGTAAAACTTCTATGTTTCACCATGAAACAGGAAGTGGTTTGTAACTCCAGCAAGCATGATCCAATCTGCCCCAAACTTCACAAGACACATCTACATGCCAATAATAATAGTTATAGCGCCCCCTATTAGTAACAGGAAATGACATATTTTACGCTTTCATTTACTTTTCCTAGCAGGTTTGCTTTGAAAAGTCTTAAAACCTTGATGACGCTGTCTGGTGAAAAGTTTTTGTCAGACGGCATTACTGTTGTGTGGCAGCCATTTTGCACGTTTTGCTGTAAAACAGAAGGTTGTTGTAACTTCAGCATACATTGTCCAATGTGCCTAAAATTTTTCATGCATGGTAAGAGTCCCAGCCTCATGATATCTATGTGCCAAATTTAAGTTACACTAGGCATAGCGCCACCTACTGGCAATAGGAAATAACATGTTTTATACGTTGATATACACCTCCAAGGGTATGGCTAACAATGTAGCCATGGTGATGCCTTTTTCACAACAAAACAGGAAGTTTCTGTGTACCTTGTCCAATCTGCTCCAAATTTCACTTGTTTTATAAAGCTGAAAACACACGAGCACTGCAGCAGCGTGGCAACTTGCTTCAAGTGCCACCCCTAGTACACTGGATGTGTCGTGCTGTAGCTTATCAACAGTCAACCACACAAAGTTATTATTGCTTTCACTGAAAGATCTGTACTTCCACCACCTATGCGGTAGCTTAGCTTAGCTTGATTTCTCACCTGAACAGCCGATCTCCAGAGTTGTGACTCTACAGGAACTATCTTTTCGGCCATGGTCTTTATAATGATGGGACTGGCAACAAGAAGTGTTGTCTGACAACTATCTTTGATTTACATGACATTTACATGGTGGTCTACAGTTGATACACAACAACATGCCATATGATTACTGTGTTCTCCGCCCGTTCATTGCTGCTTGCAGTTTTAGTTTTGGTTTGAAGACAGGTTGTGAAGCATTTGTCTCCACAGTATTGGACAACGAAAAACAATGAATGTCTTTCCAGAATCAGTGTTCCTCCGGAGTCTCCACACACCTCACTGTGAGTCTCCAGATGTGATGCTTTTGAATGCTTGTGATAAACTGGATGAATTGTCACAGTTCCTCCTCCATGACACCTGCCTGCCTGTTGTGTGTGTGTTTTTAGTTTTAAGCCTTTATAGTGTGACTGATATGTGCTCGGTTTGTTTTGGTTTTGTCTGACTGTTGGCTCCCCTTACCACTTCCTGTCTGTCTCTCTCTCTACCCATCATCTGGTATCTATACACCTGCCTGTCATCAAACATGCACCCCTGCCTTACAAGAGCCTGCACCAACAGCCAGTCCCTGCAAGCTCTCACACTAGTCGGTTTGTTTCCCTGTTAAGCCTTTCTGTTGGTTTGTTTGCCAGCCTGTCCAACCGAAGCTTCTGCCAGTCACCATCTACCCCTGCCTGTTTTCCACAACAACACATTACTTCTCTTTCTCACCTCATCTACAGCAATAAAATGCAACATATACATTAATGCAGCAGAAATACTGATCCAAAAACAGCAGTTAAGATAGTAAATACACTAACAGGGAACACTTAGCTGCACAATGGGTACTTTTACTTTTCAGTTTTGTTTTGTTTTTTGCTGATACTACATAGTTTTACTACCCAGTGAACGCAGTGGGTAGTAACCGAAGGGAATGAGATCGCAGATACACGCGACCAAAATAAGCTTCCTCTGTGGGGTGGCTGGGCTCAGCCTCAGGGTGCTTTCACACCTGCCCTGTTTGGTTTGGTTCAATCTAACTCAAGTTCGTTTGCCCCCTCAGTTCGGTTCGTTTGGGCAGGTGTGAACACAGCAATCACACTCAGGTGTGAACACAGCAATCACACTCAAGTGTGCACCAAAACAACAGGACTGAGACCTTCTTGAAGAGGTGGTCTCGGTATGGTTACAAAGGAACTCTGGTGCGGTTGGTTTGTGGTGAGAAGGTGTTTGGACCTGGATGTGAAGCAACTGCAGTCACATGACACATTGTTTGGGTTAAACATGAGCACGTTACAGTCCTGGAGGATTATTAATGTGCACCTCCTCCTGTACTGCCTTAATATGCACATTCAGCACATCCAATGCATCAAAACATTGTTTTCTAGTTGGAGCTGCGCCTCGTTTTCAAACTGTATGGTTTGACTAAAATGAACAATGACAGCAATATAGTCTAGGCAATTATGCAGCTTTGTGACAACAATAGTCCCTGATTCAGACCAAAGGAGACAACTCTAGGGCTGAAAGCAGCCTTAGAGATAGGGGGAGGGGCTCATACATCCGGAGGGAGCTCGGAGTAGAGCCGCTGCTCCTTCGCATCAAAAGGGGTCAGTTGAGGTGGTTTGGGAATCTGATCAGGATCCTGGGCGCCTCCTGTTAGAGGTGTTCCAGGCACATCCAACTGGTAGGAGGCCCCGGGGCAAAACCAGAACACACTGGAGTGATTACATATCTCATCTGGCCTAGGAATGCCTCGGGGTACCTTAGGAGGAGCTGGAAAGTGTCGCTGAGGAGAGAGACGTCTTGGGTGTGTTGCTTTGGCGTGCTGTCCCTGAGACCCGAGATGAACTGATGGACTACATACTTTTACTCCAGTATGGTTTCTATGCTGAACACTTACTTTTAACAGAGTATCTTTACAGTTTGGTATTAGTACTTTTTCTTCAGTAAATGATCTGAATACTTATTTCACCACTGAAACACTGACAGCCCAGAGCACGAGAGTCTGGACCACTCCTGTTTTCTCCTTGTGTATTGTACATCCATCTTTACTTAAGTTACATAATAATTCTATTAATTGATTCAATCAATCAATAAAAATTGCTTTAAGACATCGGAGAAGCTTTACAGTTTTTTGTCCTACCTGCAAATGTAAAGACTTTTGTAAAAGTTTTTGTTACAGCAAAGACTTTTTCGGAGTATTTGTGCTGTACCACAGAAGACATTATGAGCTGAATAATTAAAGACACATAAAGTCCAGATAGATCATTTTGGGACCTCAGTTACAAGTTCTGTCTGTACAGTCTATGCAAAAGGTGTCTAATTTACAAGATGAAAAAATGAAGGTGTTACTGTAACACAAGAGGAAGTGGCATGTTCAGGTTAGGACCGCCATCTACTGGTATGCTGGAAGAACAGCAGCTACTTTGGGGAGTCACTGAGAGAGGTGTTTATCAGGGACTAAATTAAAGGAGGATTCCAGAGAAAGATGTTGGTAATTGAACTCAGCACCTAAACAAATACACCCCTCCTATCAGTGCCTTTCTCCTTATACATCCATGGCCTTTCTCTGTCCTTTGCAGGAGCACAGCACAGTAACACTGTGTGGCCTGGTTTGAGCCACTTCCTTTGTTTCCCATTTGCAGAACCAGAACTTTGAATGAACACTGGATTGTTTTTCAGAGCAGAACAATGAAAAAGCACGCACAACCAAAAATGTCTGAAACTGAAAAAGTGAAAAAAGCTCGCACACTGCAGGGCTCCTATTTTGTGAGGTTTATTTCACTGAGTAGTGACGACGTTTCGAGCCACCGCTCCTCATCTGATGAAGCACACAGAATGGACAGCTAGTGGAGCAGAGGAGTTAATGGCTGAATTTTACAAAGGTCATGAGATATGTGACCTTCCAAAATAATCAGCTTTCGTACAAACACTCAGTTTGTGTTACACCTGTACAGTCTTAACAAACAAACACCATGACAATAATAACAATAATAATAATAATAATCATTATAGTTATTTTTTTTTGTCTAAGTGGTATTATATCAACAGACTGGCATTTAAAGGGTTAAAATCCTGAAAATGACAGAATATTTGGCAGTTATGATCAGGACTGATGTCGG